AATGATCAAGATGAAGCATGAGATCCCTGAAATTTACATTTTATTAATCATGACTATTCAGATCCTCGGTCATTTAGATTCATATAAAATACCATCACAAATTCTTCCAAATTGGATCGTAGTCAGATCTTGTAGTGTACACCGGGCTTCATACTGTTCCTCTGAAAAGTTTATATTAAAGTGACTCAGTAACATTGCCTCAGATTCTGAAACAAAATCCCTGATTTAGATCATGCTGCAATCATGATTACTGTATAAACCTTTAGGCCAGTCAGGAATCCCATGACTTCTACAAGCCGATCGCCTGTCTGATTATCAAAATATTTATGATTGGAAATTGAAATTTCATTTTTTGTTGTCCTAATCATAATAGTCTATATAACACTACAGTCTATTTGGGAAAAGGAGTATGGTAAAACCGGTCACTCAAAGATTTATTACTTTTTTTGAGGCACTTCATGATCATTTTTAGGAGCAATTTTTTTAGGGCTTCAATATTACACCATATCACAGACACTGATAACACTTAGGGCCATGCATCTCAGATTTAACATTGTTAAACGATGCCTTTAAAGAGAAGGTTGAGTTCTGGGAAGAGGTGAAAAATAATTTGTGAGCGTTATCATTCTTATTATGCAAGTATGGAAGAACATCAGATAACACATGTTCCCTGAAAAGCATGGCTCTTCAAATGCCTTCATATTCTAAATATGTCATTAACATCGTAAAACTCGGGGGTAGGATTTTTACGCCACGTGTTCGTGTAGTCCCATATACATCTTTCCGTGTTCAGTGTTTGTAACTTTACCAAGACTTGGCCAAATTTCTTATCATTTTGATGATTCCAGAACCTTGCAATACACACAAATTCTCACATATTAGATGATCAACCTTTTCTGGTCGATTCCACACCGTTTCTTTCACAATGCAATCGCATGACCTGAACTCAACTTCATCTTTAAAGGTCTAACTCATCTTGTCATATGACATCATCTTCCATCACCTTCACTTATTTACCTGTGCTCACCTGTATGACACATCTATTAATGACCAACCACGGGTAGGATTACAACGTCAAAAAATCCTATTCTTAGAGGGTCGAAGATGTATGAGTAACCCCCCTTTCAGACGACCGAAATTCATTGTATGGCTATATGAAAATTGTATAGCTATAAGATAAGTAATTATAATTTTTTTATTGAACGTTGTATACTATAACGAAATGCATGTTTTAGCACAAGTTCAAAAAAAAACTTTGTAAAGGGTCCCGTTTTCAAGTTAATGTGCTTTGTATCATACCAAAATCGTATAATTGGGCGGGGCTTATGATGAGCGCAGAATTGTGACTGGCACAGCTTGCATGTTAATGAACCTCTTCTAATTTTTTTTAAAACGACATTTCTTCACAACAAGATTGTTATAGTCTGTATACACGCTCTTTTTGCTATAGATACAATTATTCTTTATATGATGCGTTTCTTTACTTACGTTGTTTTTTTTTATCTGAACAGGCTATGACTCTCTGCATCAGAAACAGTTTTTAGGGGGAAATCCCTTTTTATGAATAGCTTATGTTTGGACTATATAAGGGCTATATTGTTGTGATATTTCCTGTATGATCTATGATTCAAGATTATTCAATGAAAATAGGAAGTCTTTAAATTAGGTAAAGAGGTCATATGAAGGTCCCACCAGAACGAATGGCAAGGTCGTAAAATAAGAATAGTTTTTCAATTTCTTCATAAATTCTTATTCATATCCAAGTTCAAGTTGTTTGTTAAATCTTAAATCCCATGACATTGATTATAAGGTATAAGGGGATATATTGCTTAGGTATAATCTTTATCATGAAGCTATTCCGTGTGTGTGTTTTTTGTTTTGTTTCTTTTTTGGGGGGGGGCGGGGTGGTGGCAATAATAATACTAATAATATCTGTAATACCTTGGTTTATCTTTCTGTTGGAAATGAAATAAATATGAATTAAATTGAATTGAATTGAATAAGGGGTTAAGAACTAAGAATTAAAACAACTTTTGATGCTATGTTGTATCTTTTCAGCTCGGTCATTCAAAGAAGCCTTCATCCCTGAAGTCTAGAGATCACCTTGATCAACTTTCATCTTCACCGGTGTTCAAAGAATCAGGATAGGTCTTCTAGTTTCCTCTTCTCCCAGATCCAAGACAGTTCTTCCAATCACCCCCACTGGGCTTCCGATGAAATGTACTCCTCTGCAGCGATGCAGGACTGGTCTTATGGTCATCAAGAAATTAAAACTTGAGCGATTCTAGACTTATCTTCTGGTCCATCTCTTAAGCCTCGTAACATGATTTTTGTTTGTTTTGTTTGTGTTTTTGAAGATGATTCCTTTAATTTGGTCACCTAATTCAACAATTAAAGAACTTATATGTTCATATTCAGAACACTTGTGAGTAAGATATATTACATGATGTTGATATGCAACTCATTCAGATAGATTTGTTTTCTTTCCCAGGCCAATTATGTAACTGAATTTCAGAGATTAATGTAAATAGCAAAGTTTTTAGTTGTACATTATTATTTAATTATTTTTTAGAGGGTTATAGTTCAACCTTTTGTGACTATGCATTACCTGTATATTTTGTTTATTTTGTGACTTCCATGATAGTTTAGCCAATGCTGTTTGACTTTCATTATTCATAAATTATGTAGAGAATAGGACATTGTGCATGGTATCTTTTTACCCTTCAGTATCAATGTGACTCAGTTCCAAGTAACTTTTTTAACCATGAATTGCTGAACATATTTGTTATGCTTTTCAAAGTTTGTTTTGTTTTCACAGACAGAAGTTAGAATATTGATCAACATGTGTACCGTTAAAGGTACTATGTCCAATTTGCAGGCCCAAAAAATGAAAAGGTTAAATTCCAACAGCATTTGAAAGATAATATCAATCTAAAACTTCCCTAAAACAGGTGAGGCTTGAAAATGTCTTCAAGTGGGAAAATAATGACTATTAGTTGTCAAATCGACTTAGGAGCTATAGAGCCAATAAGTATTAGTCTTGATTTTCAGACCATTGTACCGAATGGTCATACCTTTTATGCTGTGCAAAGATTCAATCAGTTTAATTTTGGCCATCACAAGAAGTGGGTTATTGATAGACAAATGCTCATGTACCCTTTACAGCTCATTTTATGTATGTTATTACCAAAAAAGAAAAAAAAGCCAGTCAGTCACTCAATAGTGTCTGACAGTGAAGTCTAGCAAGTAAACGGGTTTCCTTGCATAATTTGAATATGAGGACACTGCTAACGTTTAAATTTCACAGACAGGACATACATGACATATTCATAATTCCTGCAAAGTTCTACAGCATTTGAGGTTGGCTGCAAAAGGGACATAGTACCTTTAAAGGTAAAGACCAGTATTGGAAACACCCCAATTTCAAAAAATGAAATGGAAGCTCTTATTACCAATCATGTGAAAGAATATGTTTTGACTAATACATGATGATAAAAATTTTGCCGGGAATCCGCCTACTAATTGATATATTTGGTAAATTAGTTTATCTACATGGTCTGTGAGAGATAAACACACGTGTCATGCACGTATGCGTATAGTCCCATATACATCTTTCTGTGTACAGTGCTTGTAACTTTACGAAGACTGGGCCAAATTTCTTATCATTTTGATGATTCCAGAACCTTGCAGTACATCTATGCTAGATGATCAACCTTTCTGATCGATTTCACGTTTCTTTCACAATGCAATTGCATGACCATAACTGGTCTTTATCTTTAAGATATGGTGACGAAGAAGCGACTCGAGCTGATGAAGGCAGGTCTATAGAATGTGATCAATCTTTAACAGCAGTTACTCTAGAAAGAAGATTTGACGATAGAAGTAGTCAAGAGACTATATTTTAGCTATACTTATTTAATATTGTTATTATTGTATTAGCAGTATTTAATCTTCCGTTAAACAGGACTAAATGTATATAACGTTTTTTTCTTTTTATAAAAATGTAACATAACTATATTTATGATGTGAATTTCATTTTCATTTCTTTGTTGAATTTTGGTATTAAAACAATTTCACGTCAATGAATAGTAACTTTCAAAAGTGTGAGTTTTCAGCATTTTGGGTTTCTTTCCTAAGGTCTGACACGTGATATTAGTTTGAAATTTACCTTCTCTGGAAATAGCCATTATGAAATATATAATTATTTATCTAAAACATACATAGGTACCATTTAACATGCAAATACACGGTTAGAAAATTCAAAACTCAATCATATTATCAAAGATTTAACTCTGAAAACAGTGAATGATATTTCTCCCTGTGCATCTTTACAGACAGGCAAATTTTTTAAATGCAAAAAATTCTCTTTATTGCCTCATTGTTCATTATTTTGCTTGATTTTGCTCAAATTTGATGGCAAAATTTCACATAAGATGTATCCTAATGTGAAAGAGGATGTCATTTAATTAAGACGCACTTCTGCAAGGATTTTCAAAACAAATGTGTTTGAAGTCTAATATTGATGAAAGAATACAAAATTAGGTTTTCTGCGTACAACAGAAAACCCAAATTATGTATTCTTTTATAAATTTTCGTCTTCAAACACACTTTTTTTTTTGGAGGGGGGGGGGGGGGATCTTTGCAGAAGTGCGTCTTATATGACATCCTCTTTCACATTATGATACAATTTAAGAGAAATTTTGCCACCAAATATTTGGCGAATTAGGAGCTCCTAACACTGTAGAGGGGCTTTAAATCATAGGATACACTACTATTCATCAGCCCAATTAACAAATTAAAATATCTGAAACTCCGAAAGGCACTCATCAACCAGCTGCAGAAAATGATACATGTGGGAGCATGTAGTGAATTGCAATCATTTCCACTAAAATGAAAAGCTTAATTTCTTTCAATTTCCAATGTTACCTTTAATTGCTGCCTATCATGTTAGCTGTATTATCTAAGAATATAAATCAACAGAAACAAACAACTTAGGAAAGTGGAGTTTGAATGATGCAAGTCAATGAAAATGCACTTTATTAATACTAGGATCCAAAAATTTATTTACACAGCATTTTCTTCAGGTCAGCGGTACACCTTCACAACAATCTATCAAAATTTATATTTTCAGCCCCCCCCCCCCTTTATGTATGTTGTCTGAGACTTTTAATTAACAGAAACCAACAACTCTGGTACAAAGTCTTTACACAAACTATGATAATTTAAAGTGAAATTATGTAAAATGTGCTCTGCATCATTATATGTATTTTGTAGTAGAGCATAAATCACTGGCACATGCATGTACAGATTCTCTGCCTTTCTTGTAACTGATTACCCCAAAACAGAAACATGGATTACACAAAATCTGTTCTGCAGCACGTGTCGTGGAGCTGTATGAGCAGTGGACTTGTGTGATGATTATTTCTTAAACACAAGACTTTTTTCATTCTACAAACAGAACAGAAACAAAAATCTTAACACAAAAAGAAAAATAGATACACGCATCGGCTTCAATCAACATTTGAAATGTGTTCAATATCTGACTGAACTAATTCAAATAAAAGAATGAACGTCCAGCATATCCACAGAAGATAAAGCAATATATGAATCTTGACATGACATTTTGGTTGTCATTTTGTCATCACGAAGATAGGCACAGCCCTTTTAATCCCACAGCAGAAAAGAGTGAATCGTTCTGATCTATACAAACGCTATAATCTTCAATAATCTTGAAAGTTTAAACAACTTCATAAAAAATGGTACACAACATGGTTAACACTCATTTTTCATGGTGTATCCATGTAATTTAAATTTCAAATTTTGATGATGAAATACAAGAACAGTTTGTTCATCACTAATTATACAAACATACAGCTCTCTCCTCCGAGCAATTCAATCAATTATCTTAGATGACTTTAGCGCTGGAATGAGAATACACAAGTACTACAATCATATAAAAATAATTTTACAATTATCGAGTAAAGAAAAATGTCTAAGCTAATTATACAAGGTAGTACAACATTATTGGCAATCAACTACATTGATTAGAAAAAGGCTTGAAAAAAACAAAAACCCAAAGCTGATTGAATTCATATTTACAGATACACAATTTTATTTCATAGTTGCCTATAACGAAGAAAGATACTCAGGTGACCTCATTCAATCACAAGCAAATTGGCAACGTACAGTTTCTAGCGAGCATATAAAATGTTTGCTGATGGTATGCAGATTGTATTTGATCCGTTCACAAACATACCTGTGCAGAAGATGTTGTTGCTGATGACAGCATATATCCCCATATTTGCTTTACCTAGAAATAGCCTATGTAATATATGCAGACTGTAGTATGAAGCAGGGAATATACTCATCTTTATGCACTGTTCACATGTGTTACACGTGTGAACAGTGTTTTCTACACACTAGGGAGATTCAAAGAATTTTTTAAAGGATGCAGGTGATCTCCCAAAGAAACAAATTGAACATGAGGTACAATTTGTACAAAACACAAAAAAGTCTCTGTTTTTGTAATAAAATGTAGCTAAGCCATTTGATTTTAAAAAACAATGTGTAATAACTTGACTTGAATGAGACCAGCTATGATAATAATAACATTCAGTTCTTGTATAGCGCATATCACATTATATAACGTTGGCTATATGTTGGCCAGCTTTCATAAATGATACACGGCACAAATTTGGAAACTTTTCCAACTTTTAATTGAAAAAAGCAGCAGTTTCTACCAAGTAGCCTCAAGAAATATTTACTGAACTGATAATAGCATGAAAGAAATAAGAGCCCCCTAATACATTCAATTACAAAAAAACTTTGCTTCCTTTTTTTTAACGCTTGTCTGATTTCTTACATTGAAACAAGAGTTTAGTTGTAATAAAAATAGGATATGTTACAACGAATCTCTTTTTCAAAATCCTCTTCTATTCAATTACAATGAGTAACATATTCCAAGCAAAATATGCATCTGTATTGAGTACCAGAAAAAACGTATTAGCTTGGTGGATTGATGGATGCTTCACATTAAACTTCATATAGAACACTAGATTTCAAAAGTGGGGACTGTTCTTACAACAAAATAATCCTGCAAGAAAATTGTGTTTTACTGTGTAGTAACAGATACCAGTACATCCCGTCGGAGTGTTTAATGTGGTGTGTGTGAATCTAGCTTATAGGTTGTAGAACTTGAGACTTCTATCCATGCTGGAGGATGCCAAGAATGATGAGTGCTGTCCAAAACGTACTCCAGTCGTCATGCTGGTGTGATCTACAACACAAAAATGGATGGGTTCGGACATGGTTATAGAAATGTATAACACAAATATGAATGGATGGGACATGGTTATAACGCTTATATCGGTATGATATATAACACAAAAATAAATGGATGGGACATGGTTATAATGGTTATGTTGATATGATATTCAACTGAAAAATGAGTGGATGGGGCATGGTTATAATTCTCATCATACTGATACATACTACATCAGGATAACATACTTATGACAGCATTACTTCCACCTATAGCAAGATATAATGTGAACAATCTGCAGCTGACTAATTTGTCCATATTAAGCCAAGGTTTAACCTAGTCATAAGTCAGTCTTCTTTAGAAAATACAGGCTCTATTGACAAACCATTGTCAATTATAATGAGTAATAACACACAAATTAATGGATGGCACATGATTATAATGCTTAGGTTGATATGATATATAACCCAAAAAGGAGTGGATGGGGCATGGTCATAATGCGCATTATCAGAATGATATACTACACAAAAATAAATGGATGGGACATGGTAGACAATGGAGACTGTACTCAACAGGATAAATTCTATAGCTGCTTTTCACACAGGCCAAGTTAGGCTAGGCTGATGGCTTTATGGAACTGTTTAAAGTCCCTGCAGACCATCCCCCCCCCCCCCCCCACCAAAAAAACAAAAAAAAAAAAAACCCAGGCTTCATTTTAGTTTGAAGCCATTGTGTCATACATACCTGTAAAGACAGCCAGCTCCTGCCACTGTTTGCAGAGGAACACTCGTAGATCAGTGCCTGCTACGGCTAGGTACGAACCGCTCTGGTCGAAGGTCAATGATTTGATCTTAAGATGGAAGAGAAATATAAAATGTAAAAAATTGAGATACATGTATCGACAGGGACCAAGTGCACTTCAACCCTTAAATTTCCATCCAAACCTTGTTTGAAAAAGAGTAGTCTGTAGCACCCTTTTTGGAAGAGTATTTGTCTTGTATATAATGCCGATTATTGATTCTGAACTGAATGCACCGATACACTTATTAATTTTCATAAACCAACCAATCAAGAGGGAAAAATCAAAAGAGAGTTTTGGGCCGAATTATTCCAATAAGACAAGGGGGAAAGCATTGGGTTCACTCTGGTGAAATTGTGGTGTCCACCAAAACAATGGATAAGTAAAATTAAATATCCATCATTTACATAGACTGAACAAAAACAGTTTCCGGTAGTATCTAAAAGTTTCTAATATCATTTAAAAATAATTTCAATGTAAATCGCAGCAAACTAACATTTAGCCCACATCAAAGGCAGTACCAGTAAGATTGACCGGTTTCCAAACGGGACAGCACTCGACATGTACATGGAAGGATGTGTATCAACTTGACATGGAAAGACGAGATCAAACCACAAACCACTCCAAATGATTGATGATTTTCATTGTCAAGCCTCACACGTACATGATGCTATAAACCTTCCCCTTCAAAATGCCGGGTCAAATGAAATAACATATGATCATACTAAGCCACACAGAGGGGACCAACACTAGACTGACAACAACACACACAACAATAATCAAACTTGTATACAATTGCAATAAATAAATATTTTAAAAATAATTGGTCCAAAGTCTCAAATAACTCGAATTATTCTATTCATCTTTGGAATATGGGGAGCGGTTCAACAGAAATCCTTATAATGTTTCAAAACTATTATGAAATCCTTCTAAATAAGAATAACAAGAAAACTGCTAACTTTTTTGGTTCACCTTTACCAGAATTCAAACTTCTATTAAAAATCCAACTAAGTTTCTCTGAAATTATAGAACATATTTTCAAAAAAATGCATCCATGCATTTCTCTCTATCTATCAAACAGAAAATAGGTATACAATTTAAGGAATAATCAAGAAGTTTAAATAAACTGTTACTGCACATGAATATTCATAAAGGTTTGCATTGATCGGCCCGAATTCACAAAGGAGGTTTAAATTCAACCCATGGTTTAAAACCTCATTTACATAACCCATGGTCTAAAATAAGCGCAAAATAAGCGCAAAACAATCAAGATGTCCAATATTAGGCGCGTACAAGGCAAGGTACGCCTATTTTGCACCTTCTTTCAAACCATGGGTTATGGAAATGACGGTTTAAGCTCAACCTCCTTTGTGAATTTGGGCCAATATGTCTTGCAAGCTGGAAAGGCTCTTCCCACAGCTTTAGACAAACAGTTCAAACAGACCAATCGAGAACACCAACCTCGTAGTTGTCGTCCAGGGTGATGTTCTTGAAGTTCTTCAGCTTACGCAAATCCCAGAGTTTCACGATTGCATCGTCGGCTGCCGTGGCCAGGTAGTAACCGTTCTCGGAGAAGGCCAGAGCGGTGACGGGACCGGAATGGCCGGGGAAATTGGCAACGTTGGTGCACTCCTTGAGATCCCAGATCTTGATGACGCTGTCGGCGGTTCCAGTACCAAAGATGAGACCGTCAGGATGGAACTGGGCACAGGTCAGAGCTGGAAGATGAACAGAGTACAGTCCACATCAACATAACTCTATGATTGTACGACAAATGCGTTTGGGAGAATTGCTCTGCAGTTAATTTCTAACACAAACAGGGCTATGTTTTACAAAGACTAAGATGGACTTTAAGTTGGACTTAACTATGGCAGACTGTTCATGCCATCGTTTGCTTTCGCCATTGGTTTCTCAAGGGACGTACAAATCATGGTCACAAATCTACAGAATTTACATATTTTGATAATTCGTTATTGAAGTAAAAAATATTATCTAAAGATCATTACGGTGAGAGCAAAGGACTCGGCAAACAGTGGCATGACGGCCTGCCATAGTTAAGTTCAACTTAAAGCCAATCTTAGTCTATGTGAAACATTCCCCTGAATTTCTAACTTGAATTCTGGATTCAGCACTAGACTTATGACCCAATCACTCACTGTTACCGTATCCCCAACTCTAAAATATTCTCAAAAACTCTATCACAACCCAAGCCCTAACTACATAACTCTGATGAATTACCGGTAAAAGAAAAATTATCAAAATTGCTATATTCACCAAGAAAAATAGAAATTTTGTTTGTACGACGGATTACATAACGATTATCCCTGAAAATTATAATATCATCATAACTACAAATATATTTGTCAAGGAATTAAATCCCACTTCACCATTCCTGTAATCTTACTCCCCGTTCCCTTTTGGTTTAATTTTTCAATAAGCAGTTTAAAATTGTTAAATACCTTTTAAAATGTTTATTCTCTTTATTCATATGTTTGGTTATTATCCCAAGTCACATAGGACTAAACCTTAAAGGCATTGTTTAACAATTCTAAATCTGAGATGCAAGGCAACTACGTGTTATCAGTGTCTGTGATATAGTGTAATATTAAAGCCCTAAAACAATTCGCACTTCAAACTGATCATGAAGTGCTTCAAAAAAGTAAAAATCTTTGAGTGACTGGTTTTTACCATACTCATTTTCCCCAATAGACAGAAGTGTTGTAAAAAAAAAAGTTGGGAGAACAGTTTTTGAAATTTCGAATTCCAAACATAAATATCCTTGATAATCAAACACGCGATTGGCTTGTTAAAGTCATGGGATTCATTTCTGACCTAAAGGTTTATAATTATGATTGCAGCATGAGCTAATACCAGGATTTTGTTTTTAAGAGAATCAGAGGCAAAGTTACCCAATCCCTTTAAAAAAAAAGGCAATATTCCCAGCAATTTAATCCCCATCTTACCATGGCCGACAGAATCATCAGAGACTTTGGTGAGGACGCGTCCCGTCGTTATGTCAGAGAAGGCCCAGTGACGATCCTCGGAGCAGCTGAGGAGGAAGTCTCCGGTGGCGTGGAGGCTGAGACCGGTTACAGCGGCATCGTGAGCACGTACCACCTGGGAGCATGAGCCATTCTGGGTGAGCCAGATACGGATGGTTGCGTCCGGCGAAGAAGTGAACACCACATCCTGCAAGGAGAAGAAAAATGGATTGGTTGAAAATATATGAACTTGAAGAAAACCAAGTTTTAAGCGGGACTGCACTACTTGTGCCCTCTATATAGCAAACAATGCCTAAGCCGTTACCCGTTGGTTCTCCATGATCCCCTCCTTTTTATGTAACTTGAGAGCTGATTTGATTAGATATGCAGGGAGGTCTAATCCCTCCTGGCTTAACTAGTGCAGATAGGCTTTAGATTCCATTTTAAAAGAAAAAGTATTCATATCCAACTATTTTCCTAAAACCATGCAGTCTATGAATTATATTGAATCATAAAACTAACAGACTTATCAATCATATTTAATAATATGTCACACAAGCTAGGCTACAAGATTTGTTTTCTCTCTACCGAAATACAACATATATGCAAACGTATGGTGCTGTAGCTAGCCCACAGAAAGTACAGATAAAGAGGATCTAATTCTAATTAGCTAATTTTTATGATCACAGGACTCACAAAAAGAAGAGCAAACTCTGTCATATGAGAGGAAGGGGAGAGACGAGAAGCACATTCTTTTGTGAGAGTTTTGAGTTTAAACCAAACTGTTTCTTGATGTTTAAAAAGAAAGTTGAGTTTAAACCAAACTGTTTCTTGATGTTTAAAGAGAAAGTTGAGTTCTGGTCATGCAATTGCATTGTGAAAGAAAAAGTTGATGATGTAGCATGTAGGTATTGGTGTGTACTGCAAGGTTCTGGAGTCATCAAAATAGTAAGAAATTTGGCCCAGTCTTGGTAAAAGTAACAAGCACCTGTACACAGAATGATGTACAAACATGTGGCATAAAAATCAGGCCTCATTTTTAAGCTGTTGTTATATTTAGAATGTGGAGGCATTTGAAGAGCCATGCTTTTCAGGGATCATTTTTCCTCTGATGTTGTTCCACACTTGCATAATTACAATGATAACGCTCACAAATTATTTGTCACCTCTCCCAAGAACTCAACTTTCTCTTAATGTCTTTTTCATTAAAATCGTACCTCTGTAGGATGGTAGATGACATTGTTGACCTTCTTTGTGTGACCTTTCAAGATGGCCGTCACTTGCTCCGTATCCTTGTTGAACACCACAGCATTTCTGTCAGCTCCTCCTACAAGGAAACAAAATGGTTTGAAATCGGTAGTCAACACAATCTATCATCGTAGAGCATAGTGTATGTATATATTTTATTTAAAGGCTACAAATGGCTCTCCGTAATGTCAAGTCCAACGTAGAGTTAAGTTGGACTTAGGATCTTTACGTAACACCCCCCAAAAGTAAATAAGAAAAAATATTTCAGATTTGTACACTCCATAAGACAAAATTTGATGAAATGATTGACATTTAAAAAAAAAGAGGGGTCTTAAACTGGGAAAGACACTTGCGATCAGTTTTGTAACTAGCCTTCACCGTTAGTCTTCATCATCGTCATCACTTACCTGTGAGAACCTTGGATGTATCAGATGCCTGTAAATCAAGCGCCAAAATACCAGGAATACTGGCACTGTGCAGACCCTATGTACAAATGAGAAGTACAGGATTACTATGCATCAATAATTGATACACACATACACACTCCCATTGAGTATATTTAAGCTACAATATTGTTTTGTAGAAATAATATTTGAAGCTCAAAATTTAAACACATTTGTTGATCTATGCACCAAGGGTGTCATTATGTCGGCAGAGTTGTGAGCAATATAAATATAGAATCATTATTATTATCAAACTAAAATCTGGTCACTTACTAAAAATATTTAACAGAGTAAAATATGCCTGAATGTAAACACAGATCTATGGTACTTCTTGAAAGCACATTTTGTTACTACAAAAATGTGACTTTATTTACCAATCCTTAGAACTTATTTTTAACATCTACTTTTGAATATATTATCAAATACTCCAAAAAGGAAGATTCCTAGTAAACAAAAAGAGTTTTTGTTAAAGGATCTTCTCTGTAGGATGATATAAAGGGTGGATGTATAATGCATGATTAACCATTTCAATATGCAGATTTTTTAAATCTAGACATTTAAAAATTAAAGATATCATTTAATACCTTATGAATGTAATGGAAGAGTAAAAAGAAAATAGGATGAACAATTTCCGTCAGTAGATCTGCAAGTGACATTTCATAACAGTAATATTGAACATATCGAGGGGTTAGTGACACAAAGACGTAACTCCATTTTGGCCATTTTGAGAAAAAGTGGTTTATGTGTCACTGAGCACTTGGGCCTTAAGGAGTTAAGTCAATGTTTCACTAGCTATTGACTTTCAATGAGGTGCTGGGTGGAGTTAAGTCTTTGTGTTTCCTGGAAAGCCCACATTTTTCTGAACATTATGGTATCAAATACTCATTTTGGCAAAATATGGAGTTACGTCTTTGTGTCACTGAACCCTCGATATGGTTATCTATTTTAAGAATGAGATATAACTTACTGGATGAGAAGCTCTTGGTCTGTAGTTCCTGATATCTTCAGATGGAGCCAGTTCATCTGGAACCTTCTTACCACGCTTCTTACGCTCGGCAGTGAGCACGTTGGCACGCTCTTGCAACTGTAAGTGAGGAAATTCAAACATCCAGGAGAATGATATTACTAAACTAGATGGAATTCGACTGCGCGCAGTCGAAAATGATGCCTCCGTCATAGAGCAATTTTACAAACCGAAACAGAAGAAATTTTTCAAATTCAAGTTCAATTGTAATCCATTAACATGTTCTCAGAATATCGTGATTACAAGCAATTTCTCATAAACATATATGACCCTTTGATCTTTGACCTCATGACCCTAAAATCTACTCAGTTCATTGGCTCTGCAAGATTTCCTGAGTTAAATAGTAATCCATCTGTCAGTTCTAATGAGAATGCGTCCACAAGCTATTTTTGCATACATAATGAGCCCATGACCTTTGATCTTATGAACCATTCATTGGCTCTGCAAGATACATAAATGATCTAAGTTTGGCAGGAATCCATCAATCTGTTCTAATGATAATACGATCACAAGCTATTTTTGCATACATAATGAGCCGCATGACCTTGACCTTTACCTCATGACCCCAAAATCTAATAAGTTCATCAGCTCTGCAAGTAACATACATGACCTAAGTTTGGCAGGAATCCATCAATCGGTTCTTGAGATAAGGCGATCACGAGCTGTTTTTGCATACACAATGTGCGCCGTGACCTTTGACCTCGTGACCCCAAAATCTAATCAGTTCATTGGCTTTGCAAGATACATACATGACCAAAGTTTGGCAGGAATCCATCAATCGGTTCTTCAGATAACGCGATCACAAGCTGTTTTTGCATACATAATGAGCCCTGTGACCTTTGACCTCGTGACCCCAAAATCTAATCAGTTCATCAGCTCTGCAAGATACATACATGACCAAAGTTTGGCAGGAATCCATCAATAGGTTGTTCAGATAACGCGATTACAAGCTGTTTTTGCATACATAATGAGCCCTGTGACCTTTGACCTTTGACCTCGTGACCCAAAATGTAATCAGATTGTTTTCCTATAGTGATACACACTATCACTAAGTTTGAAGTTTAAATCTCCAGTGGTTCTTGAGATATCATGATAACAATCTCAATGTATGGAATTTCATAAGTTGACCTCTGTGACCCTTGACCTTTGACATACGTGCTCCAAAATCTAATCAGATCGTCTTCCTATGGTGATACATACTATCCTTAAGTTTGAAGTTTAAATCTCAAATGGTTCTTGAGATATCGCGCTAACAAACTCAATACAAGGAATTTCATAAGTTGACCTCTGTGACCTGTGACCTTTGACCTACGTACTCCAAAATCTAATCAGATCGTCTTCCTATGGTGATAAATACTATTCCCGAGTCTTAAGTTTAAATCTTAAATGGTTCTTGAGATATTGTGATAACGGTCAAATGGGACGGACGGACGGACGTACGGACGGACGGACGTACGGACGGACGTACGGACGTACGGACGGACGTACGGACGGACAACCCGAAAACATGATGCCTCCGGCACCACCTTCGGTGGCGGAGGCATAAAAATTGAAATACTTCTTCTACTCACATTGGCAAGCTCTTGCAACTGTTAAGACAATAATGCAACTAAACCCATATAGGACTTGAGGGAATAAAATCATATTTAAAGCCCCACCGCACTAGTTTGGCCGGGAGGGATTAGACCTCCCTGCATGGTCACTGACATGTGGTTATCTCATCAAATCAGCTCTCAATTTACATAAGAAAAAGAGGATAATGGGGGACTAATGGTCACCGGTTAGGCATTGTTTGCTTTATAGAGGGCGCAAGTAGCTATAAGTAGTGCAGTGGTGCTTTAAAGGGGCACAGGTTAAACAAGCCTCAATATATTAAAGTATTAGGTATATCCCGAGTTTTATTTCAGTAATCTAGCAAGATGCACAAAATATGCAATGCAATGATTCTTATGCCAGGCTCTGAGTACATCGACACAACCATGAACTCTTGTAAGTGGGTTGATAAGGAATAACTGACACAACAATAATAAATCTGATTTTAGGAAATGTAATCATATTTCAAACGGCACAGATTAAAAAGCATAGAAATGTCTGAGGCATTGTAAATCTAGTGAGAGCAGTAAAACTGAAAGCAGTAAAATAAGGTATTTATATGATGGAGTCTGCAATCTGATAACACCATTTCAAACTAGATGGAACTTCGACTGCGCGCAGTCGAAAATGATGCCTCCGTCATAGAGCAATTTTACAAACCAAAACAGGAACAAATTTTTCAAATTCAAGTTCAATTATAATCCATTAACAGGTTCTCAGAATATCGTGATTACAAGCAATTTCTAATATACATATATGACCCTTTGATCTTTGACCTCATGACCCTAAAATCTACTCAGTTCATTGGCTGTGCAAGATGTCCTGAGTTAAATAGTAGTCCATCTGTCAGCTCTAATGAGAATGCGTTCACAAGCTATTTTTGCATACATAATGAGCCCTGTGACCTTTGACCTCGTGACCCCAAAATCTAATCAGTGCATTGGCTCTGCAAGATACACACATGACCAAAGTTTGGCAGGAATCCATCTATCGGTTCTTCAGATAACGCGATCACGAGCTGTTTTTACATACATAATGAGCCCTGTGACCTTTGACCTCGTGACCCCACAATCTACTCAGTTCATTGGCTGTGCAAGATGTCCTGAGTTAAATAGTAGTCCATCTGTCAGCTCTAATGAGAATGCGTTCACAAGCTATTTTTGCATACATAATGAGCCCATGACCTTTGACCTCATGACCCAAGAATCTACTCAGTTCATTGGCTCTGCAAGATACATACATGATCTAAGTTTGGCAGGAATCCATCAATCTGTTCTAATGATAATGCGATCACAAGCTATTTTTGCATACATAATAAGCTGCATGACCTTTGACCTTGACCTCATGACCCCAAAATCTAATCAGTTCATCGGCTCTGCAAGTAACATACATGATCTAAGTTTGGCAGGAATCCATCAATCGGTTCTTGAGATAACGCGATCACGAGCTGTTTTTGCATACATAATGAGCCCTGTGACCTTTGACCTTGACCTCGTGACCCCAAAATCTAATCAGTTCATTGGCTCTGCAAGATACATACATGACCAAAGTTTGGCAGGAATCCATCAATCGGTTCTTCAGATAACGCGATCACGAGAACGGGACGTACGGACGGACGGACGGACGGACGGACGGACAACCCGAAAACATAATGCCTCCGGCTACTTCGTAACGGAGGCATAAAAATGGAGAGGTCACAAATATTTGCCATGGTTTAAGAAACAAAGAAATCTAAATCATCTATTATTTTCCACTCCATTGATACATCAATTGTACTGATATTAGTATCCAAAATATTATAGTGCAGAAATGTCCTTTTTCATCTTTCAATGAATCAAAAGGAAATCTTGTTCCTAATGATACAGGTGACACATTATTGCAATTACCATCCACTCAGTAAAGCATTACAGGATGAATATTCAAATTTCTGATCAGTTTTAAACTCTGCGTAATCACAGAAAGAGCACATGGGGCCATTTTTGATCTAGACACCCCATGATTTTGACCAATAAGAAAAACTAGTAGGAAACACAGTTTCTTGTTTGCAGTGGATTTACATGACAAAATATTAATAATACTTTATAGCACATCACAGATACAAGCCTACTACTCATATAACAGGATTTTAAACTTCTGGATATTCACTGAAAGAATGGGGTAGACATATCAGATCTAGCAACCCTATAACTTTGACCAAGCAATGGGGTATAAAAATAGGCAACCTCTAGGACTTGTTATACCTCCTGTAGGATTAGTTAAGGAGAGAAAAATCAAATACTTTGGTCATGTTAAAAGGCACCAAATTCTCTCAAAGGCAGGCTTTACTACTTCAGCTAGAAGGGATTAGACCATCCAGCGAGCCAGCGAGGTCACTGTGACAGGTGGCTATCTCATTAACTCAGCTCTCATTTAACATAAGAAAAAGAGGATCATGGGGGACCAACAGGCAACGATTGGGGAAGTTTTCTATATAGAGGGAGCAAGTAGCTACAAGTAGGACAGTGTGCCTTTAAAGGATGTATTGGAGGGAAGAGTGGAAGGAACTAGACCAAGAGGAAGACCCAGAATCAACTGGGCAGAGAATGTCAGGAACTGGAGTGGACTAAAACTTCAAGAGTGCACCAGAATGGCAGAAGATAGAGTGAAGTGGAGAGATGTTGCAATCAACCTCCCAACCAGGAAAAGATACTTAGAGAGACATTTATACCTTCTGTATGATATCCTCAGTCATGCCCATAGGACCGGCTTCAGCAGCCTCCATTGGCTCTGGTACGGAGCTGGGTTGGACAGCCACAGCAGCAGGCATAGCTGCACCGGGCGCGATGCCTGGTGCTGCTTGGGGCTTCAGTGTAGCCAAGGCTGTAATCATAAGGTGTAAAAGGATGAACATGGATGTTGTTCAACGATATATATATTTCTTAAAAAGATGACGACAACAACATCAGCAATACACTTTGATCACATGCCTGGTGCTGCTTGGGGCTTCAGTGTAGCCAAGGCTGTAATCATAAGGTGTAAAAGGATGAACATGGATGTTGTTCAACGATATATATATTTCTTAAAAAGATGACGACAACAACATCAGCAATACACTTTGATCACATGCCTGGTGCTGCTTGGGGCTTCAGTGTAGCCAAGGCTGTAATCATAAGGTGTAAAAGGATGAACATGGATGTTGTTCAACGATATATATATTTCTTAAAAAGATGACGACAACAACATCAGCAATACACTTTGATCACATGCCTGGTGCTGCTTGGGGCTTCAGTGTAGCCAAGGCTGTAATCATAAGGTGTAAAAGGATGAACATGGATGTTGTTCAACGATATATATATTTCTTAAAAAGATGACGACAACAACATCAGCAATACACTTTGATCACATGCCTGGTGCTGCTTGGGGCTTCAGTGTAGCCAAGGCTGTAATCATAAGGTGTAAAAGGATGAACATGGATGTTGTTCAACGATATATATATTTCTTAAAAAGATGACGACAACAACATCAGCAATACACTTTGATCACATGCCTGGTGCTGCTTGGGGCTTCAGTGTAGCCAAGGCTGTAATCATAAGGTGTAAAAGGATGAACATGGATGTTGTTCAACGATATATATATTTCTTAAAAAGATGACGACAACAACATCAGCAATACACTTTGATCACATGCCTGGTGCTGCTTGGGGCTTCAGTGTAGCCAAGGCTGTAATCATAAGGTGTAAAAGGATGAACATGGATGTTGTTCAACGATATATATATTTCTTAAAAAGATGACGACAACAACATCAGCAATACACTTTGATCACATGCCTGGTGCTGCTTGGGGCTTCAGTGTAGCCAAGGCTGTAATCATAAGGTGTAAAAGGATGAACATGGATGTTGTTCAACGATATATATATTTCTTAAAAAGATGATGACAACAACATCAGCAATACACTTTGATCACATGCCTGGTGCTGCTTGGGGCTTCAGTGTAGCCAAGGCTGTAATCATAAGGTGTAAAAGGATGAACATGGATGTTGTTCAACGATGTATATATTCCTTAAAAAGATGACGACAACAACATCAGCAATACACTTTGATCACATGCCTGGTGCTGCTTGGGGCTTCAGTGTAGCCAAGGCTGTAATCATAAGGTGTAAAAGGATGAACATGGATGTTGTTCAACGATATATATATTTCTTAAAAAGATGATGACAACAACATCAGCAATACACTTTGATCACATGCCTGGTGCTGCTTGGGGCTTCAGTGTAGCCAAGGCTGTAATCATAAGGTGTAAAAGGATGAACATGGATGTTGTTCAACGATATATATATTTCTTAAAAAGATGACGACAACAACATCAGCAATACACTTTGATCACATGCCTGGTGCTGCTTGGGGCTTCAGTGTAGCCAAGGCTGTAATCATAAGGTGTAAAAGGATGAACATGGATGTTGTTCAACGATATATATATTTCTTAAAAAGATGACGACAACAACATCAGCAATACACTTTGATCACATGCCTGGTGCTGCTTGGGGCTTCAGTGTAGCCAAGGCTGTAATCATAAGGTGTAAAAGGATGAACATGGATGTTGTTCAACGATATATATATTTCTTAAAAAGATGACGACAACAACATCAGCAATACACTTTGATCACATGCCTGGTGCTGCTTGGGGCTTCAGTGTAGCCAAGGCTGTAATCATAAGGTGTAAAAGGATGAACATGGATGTTGTTCAACGATATATATATTTCTTAAAAAGATGACGACAACAACATCAGCAATACACTTTGATCACATCCTTTAAGACTTTGGGTGGTATTCTCAAAAGCGGACTAACTTTAGTCCATGGTTTAATCCACGACTAAGTATGGAATGCCAAGTGTCCATAAGAATATATTTTTGAATAACTTAATCTGTCACTAAGTTATCATGATAACATATTTATAACATAGATATATTGTTGTTTATTAATTATGTTATTACATTTTATTTTGATTAAGTGACAGATTAAATCATTCAAAAGCATATTCATATGGACACTTGGCATTCCATACTTAGTCAGTGGATTAAACCATGGACTAAAGTTTATCCGATTTCGGGAATACCACTCTATGACAATGCCCTGCTCTTTTTGTAAATTTATCTCAGATACAACCAACCAACTGACTCACCAAGTTAAAATGAGACCATGGATGCAGCTCACATGAGCTTTCATGGAATTGTTATTGTAAAATTAAGATTTTCTAGCAGTGATATTTTTTAAAGACCTACATGTATCCTAATGTGATCTTACCACAGCTTTTTCAAAGCTAAGTACAGCTACACTGTTCATCATTCCTGCATATTATTCCACAATATGTATATCTTTGATATAATATGGTATAAATCAGTGAAAAGAATGACAATAGTTCAACAAAGAGGCAAGGAATCCAGCACATGTATGCTTACATTTAGGTTACCATCACAAAATGACCAAAATTGAACTGCAGAGAGGTGGGAAATCTAAGTTACAGAATCTAAGTCCTATTTTTTTATTACCAGACAACTCGCCACAAAGACAACCCGCCCCAAGACAACCCGCCACAATACCCTGGACATCTCGCCACAATAACCTGGACAACTCGCCACAGGCGAGTTGTCCAGGGTGGGGTGCCTTTTCGGACAACTCGCCACACTTTTTTCCCCTCATGATTTCTAGATCTAGATCTTTTTGGTTACTAAATAGTAATCAATAATACTGCTGATTCTTTTTTTAGGGGGGGGGGGGAGTGGAAATTCGTTTTGACCCCCCCCCCCCCACACACACACACACTTTTTCGTTGGGAGGAGGGCGAGTCCCCTGCCCCCACTTCTGGCGCCTATGATTGCAAGAATTGCTGGATTTCTTAAAAAGGGGCACCTACAAAGGGACACATCAACAATAATAAAAACCCTTTTTAGATATTTGTCTATAGGCCTACGCCTTCGTCAAGATTGTGAATACACTACCACGAATGACATCAATATTTGTTAATTTCTTTACGTGGAACAACATATTGTTTAAGCAACGTACTCCGCAATTTGGTGTGATGGATTGAATATCGATTTTCGAGCAAGCAAGGAAAAAGTATAAGGTCCCATTTGAAAAATTACATGATGAATATTAAGGACAATCTAATGAAGAAAGACAGAAAAGTTCTTTTATGTAATTATGAGTAACATTATAATTAAAACATCTGAGAAAGAAAAGTAGGCACTTATCAGAAGGGAAAAGGACATGTACAAATGATAAGGGGGCACTTTAGGGGAACCTGAAAAAGCGGAGGCACAGTGCCCCCCCCCCCCCAACCAAGAATGCCGCCTGTGACTGTGGGCAAAAGTGCGAAACTAACCCAGAAAATCTAGAAATAAACCACATTTCAATTTTATTTCGCGGGTCAACTGCCCCCTCTCCCATTAGTACGCCAGTGCTTCCAGTAGGCCTATCCTTCCATGAATTCCTACCATTAAAAATTATCAGAAGGGAAAAGGACATGTACAAAGGATAAGGGGGCACTTTAGGGGAACCTGGAAAAGTGGGGGCACAGTGATGATTACATGATGAATATTAAGGACAATCTAATGAAGAAAGACAGAAAAGTTCTTTTATGTAATTATGAGTAACATTATAATTAAAACATCTGAGAAAGAAAAGTAGGCACTTATCAGAAGGGAAAAGGACATGTACAAATGATAAGGGGGCACTTTAGGGGAACCTGAAAAAGTGGAGGCACAGTGCCCCCCCCCCTCCCCCCCCCCCCCCCCCAACCAAGAATGCCGCCTGTGACTGTGGGCAAAAGTGCGAAACTAACCCAGAAAATCTAGAAATAAACCACATTTCAATTTTATTTCGTGGGTCAACTGCCCCCTCTCCCATTAGTACGCCAGTGCTTCCAGTAGGCCTATCCTTCCATGAATTCCTACCATTAAAAATTATCAGAAGGGAAAAGGACATGTACAAAGGATAAGGGGGCACTTTAGGGGAACCTGGAAAAGTAGGGGCAGTGTCCCCCCCCCCCCCCAACAAAGAATGCCGCCTCTGACGAAACTAACCCAGAAAATCTAGAAATAAACCACATTCCAATTTTATTTCGCGGGTCAACTGCCCACCCCACCCCCCCCCCCCCCCCCTATCAGTACGCCAGTGCTTCCAGTATCTTACCATTAAAAAATTTCTGGGACAGAAAAATGCAGCTGTTATAGACCTCTATCTATATACCGAGAAGTTATCCCAATGATCTGGCGATCGTACGCCCTTTGGTTTGTCAAAAGTATATTATTGTTGCAAGGGAAATCAGCTTTATTCTTTGTAATGACTGTGTTTATAGAAAATCATGAAAAATGACAATTTCATATCGTTTTAGATCTAAAAATCATGAGGGGAAAAAAGTGTGGCGAGTTGTCCGAAAAGGCACCCCACCCTGGACAACTCGCCTGTGGCGAGTTGTCCAGGGTATTGTGGCGAGATGTCCAGGGTATTGTGGCGGGTCGTCTTGGGGCGGGTTGTCTTTGTGGCGAGTTGTCTGGACCCCTATTTTTTATATTGCTAGTTGTTGACTTATATCTTTAAAAGTGTTATCTATTGTGCCTAACATGTAAACATGAATATTCCAGCCATGGATGTCTTTGATGTAACATTGTATTTGTATGAACCATGTTTGTGCTATAATAAAAACCATATTTGAATTGAATTGAAAATGAAATCAATCTATACCTTCACGAGCGGCAGTGACCTCTTTGGTGAGCCTAGCGATGACACGGCACGCTGCGTCATGCTGATAGAGGGCGTGAGAGAGCTCCTGACGAGCCGTCTGAAGCTGCTGACGGAGCGTGAAGCTGTGCAGCATGCAGGCGTCCCACTCGTCCTGGAGGAGCTTCAGGATCGCTGGGATGCTGGTTGCCGTCGGTGGCCGTGGCTTCACCAAGGGATTCACTGTGAGAAAGGAAAATACAATCAATAATTTATTGATGATGAAAATAAACAAGACACTGAAAATTTCATAGAAAAAATACATTAGGTAGCAAAACAAAATAGACTAGTGTTATACAAATCATTGGGAAAACGTTTTTTGAAATTTCGAATTCCAAATTTCAATCATAAATATCTTGATAATCAAACATGCGATCGGCTTGTAAAAGTCATGGGACTCCTAACTGACCTAAAGGTTCATAATAAAGATTGCAGCATGAGCTAAATCCAGGATTTTGTTTAGAATCTAAGGCAAAGATACCCAATCCCTTTAAATCTACTCAACTGAAATCTAGGAGCATTTGGACCTTGGTACCATAAAACACTGTTACAATAACAAATTAAATCTTGATAACTTGATGTTTTAAATCTTCACATATTAATTTATTATGAGCATGCAGGGTATGAATAAATGAAATATCATGAAGGAAACTTGTGAAGTACAGACTGAATAAGTTTGTATGTGACATCATTACGAGAAATATAAAATAGTTAATATCGAGAACTCCCTTTTCCTCATATTCTAAAAAGGAAACGAAATACAGCTTCATGTGTTACTTAGACAGAGGTGAGAGATGACATCACTTGCTAAATCTTTTTTTTTTCACGAGGCAGCGATCTATTTCCAGCCTAACCACTCACGATGGAGGTCTCCTGCGTTCTGAAATTTATCTCTTTAGTTAAATGAAAAATATATACAAATATCTGTTATACTTGTTTGTATGCTTTGTATTTTGGTTATTGTATAATATTATTAGACATGATTTGCTATGTATGTAATACTTATGTAAAATGTATAACCTTGTATTTGTTCTTTGAGCGCAGAAATGAAATCGATCAAACAAACTAGGACTGACCTTTGATCTCGATCAGCTGATCTTCAGAGAGAGGTTCTCCATTGACAGGATCACTGCCATTCTCCGAGATGAACTTCTCTATGAGCCGCTTCTCAAAGACTCGCCCTGATGCTGGCGACACGACAGGAACCTCTGGCAACTCATTGGAAACTAAAGATAAGCAAGAGAAAAACAAAAGATATCAAAATGACCTGTTGTATTACTGCATCGGAATTCAACCTTATAAATGTATACTGTATATTACAAGTACAATGCAGAGTCTTTAGGCCGACTTCATCAGCTTCGAGTTTGCCAAATAACCCATTATTTTCAGACTCGTGATATTTTCCCGGAAGCTCGAAATTGCGTCTGTACCAGACCAATACGCTCATCACATTCACAGAATAGCTCTGAAAATACACCTGAGATGGGCACATGTGCACTTCAGAGACCGACTGTAGGATCAGCGCATGAATTTCGGGCGGCTGGCATGCCGACATGAAGTTAACAACCAAATAATCATCATCAATTCATAATAATGTGAATTAGACTAGACTAGCCTAGAAAATCTACTTGCGTTGCATAAATTTAATGAGGATCCGAGATTACAGTTGCTAACTTCAGTCTTCACGCAGGCGCACGCGCCCACCCAAAATCCACCATTAGTATGCACTTGTATTGTGCAGCATTTTGCTGTGACACCTGTGACAAGTGTGAGAAAGTGTATAACAAAGTTTTTGTTTTTAGGAAAAAAACTCAAATAAAGAAAAGAAAATTGACACAAAAACATCAAACAGGTAAGAAAGATATTGACTATTAAATCACGCGTTATTTGAACAATTGTGGAAGATATCTCGCCGAAGTCACAGGTCCAAATGGTCACAGTTGTGAACAAGCGCTGAAGCATTTTCCTAAAGTGGCAGCAACATGCAACAAGATCAAGTAGAGTTGAGAGACTCGAGACCAACATGTCAAAGCAAACACAAAAGTCAACAGATGGGACTAAAAATAACAGGCGCCAAATAGAACTCGACACATTTCATGTCAAGTTTTTCGTTTCAAACGGCTTCATCAACAACAATATCATAGTAAGAAGCCAAGAAATTCATATTATAAAGTTCCCTTTTAAATTTAATTCGAAAGTCATCATTACACTGAGTAAATTATAAGAAATTCGTACTTACTTGAACAAACTAGCGCCATGTTGCAAGCGTGAGCATCAAGCGACTATCTGAATGTTGTCAAGAGATGGCGGGCTAGCGAGCGAGCAAACTTTGTTGACCTCCGTTACCGGTCATATTGACCGGTCAATATGCTTGGTCCCTCTTGTGAGGACTAGTACATTTGTGGACGAATAAACACACCCCAATTTCTTTTCAGATGTTAACTCATCATTTTTTACCAATATGTTTGAACAATATTTCAAATAAAGTGCGAAGTTCAAAATGTAGTTTTTCGCACAGCGACCTCACAAATCTTGGGCTCACTCGCAAATAAATAAATATTCATACCATCACACCCAACTACAAAGCATGATGCTTTAGCAGTATCTTGGACCATGTAAAGAGATAAACAAACATTGAAACCATCCCTGATAATGTAATCACAGTGTAGGGGTAATACCGAAGTCTAAAAAGCATATTTTCACTTTAAAGTTTCCAGAAATTGCCCCTTTTGCCCCCCCCCCCCCCTCACATTTTGTAAGACGCTCTACCGCACCTGGATTATTATCATCTTCTTATATGCACACTCGTTTCCCCTCCTTCAAATGATCTCACCCCCTTTCATTAAAACATTCTCTCCATTTATCCCCTTCTCATATTCTCGCAATCTTTATCTGAGTTTTCCTTTCAAATTCTATCACTGAATCATACATTTCTTTCGTGACAAATTTCGCTCACTTTAAATCAATATCTTTTCACATTCTCTTACTCTTTATATCTTCCTTTCGAATTGTATTACTAATTTATACACCTCTTTCATTAAAGCTTCTCTCAATTTCTCTTCTCCATGCGTTCTTTTGTGCTGTGTATCTCTCTTCTTCTTACTGACACAAACACAATTGACAGTATAGAAATTGAAACTAAATCAATTCACGTCAAACAATCATTTAATCACTAAAGCTACTTTTTCGATGACATAAGAAAATTAAGCATCCTTTAAAGCGACAACACCCATTGTATCTAGTTTGCCTATTTACATCAGCTTTACTTAAAACAAATATAATAACTAATTTGGAAAATAATAGCAAAAGTAATTAGAATAATGCTAATGCTAATAATGATAAAAATAATAATGATAAATAAATAACAATAATAAAAAGAAAATGACAACATTAAAAATGATAATAGTCATAACAATAATTAATAACAATACTACTCATAAAGATGATAACACTAATGATAATGATAATATTTGTAACAATAATAATAAGAATAATAACACTATTGATACTATTATTATTACTGATAATAATAATACTAATCAATAATCTAATTTTTGAAGATAAATAGAGTTTAGAGAAATTTCAGTGAGACTACTATTAGTTATATCCCCTTGTAAAATAAACTGTCTCGAAGTTCGCCCCATTAAAAACGAAACCCGAAAAACAAAAGGTGATTGTGAGCGAACTATGAGCTGTATACAAATAATTTCTTCCTTTTTATAGAGAAGGAGTAATATGTTTTTTTTAATGATACATGTACTTTGATAAGTGCATTAATCCACACAGGCTTTACCGAGCAACATTGTTGCCATGTCAAAATCCATTTGTGCCAGATATTAGTAAAACAGTACAGTGTCTACGTTCGTATCACATGCGAAAAAATATAAGCGTTAAAGATACTATGTCCCTTTTGCAGCCAACATCAAATTCTGTAGAACTTTGCAAGAATTATGAATATATCATGTATAGGCCTATGTCCTATCTGTGAAATTTAAACGTTAGCAGTGTCCTAACATTCAAATTATGCAAGGAAACCCGTTTACTTGCTATATTTCATGTCAGACACTATTGAGTGACTGACTGACTTTTTCTCTTCTTTGGTAATAACATATGCCTTCATAAAATGAGCTTTAAAGGGTACATGCGCATTTGTCTACATCAATAACCCACTTCTTGTAAGTGGCCAAAATTAAACTGATTGAATCTGTGCGCATATCAGACTATAACTTACTGACTTGGTAGCACTTAAGTCGATTTGACAACTCATAGTCGTTATTTTCCCACGTAAAGACATTTTAAAACCCCCCTTTTTTAGGGAAGTTTTAATTAGTATTATCTTTTAAATGCCGTTGGAATTTAACCTTTTCATTTTTTGACCTGCAAATGGGACATAGTACCTTTACAAGACAAGTATGCAATATTTCCATTGTGTGGTGATTAGCATTTTTCAAATAAGCAGTTACAACAAACAACAGGGGCGAATACCCATTTTCGGGATGACAGGAGCGTACCATAATTATAATCCAAAAATCAATGAATGCCCTCATGCAATGAAAAAGTGCCCCTTTACTGATTGAAAATGGTGCCCATCCTAAGAAGAAAACTACGCCGTTCCTGTGATTTATTCTATTCCTGATGTGCCCATTTGATTCTTGTTTTTGATATCGTCTAACTTGCTATTTTAAAAACTTCAGGCAGTTCTGAAAAAAGCAAAAGCACTGTTCATTACAATTGTAGACCCATTCAAGAACTATTATGCCCTTTTACCCTCACCATCGACAATATTTCCACGATGCAACATTTTATGATGAAGATGGTATTAACCTTTATCCTCATTATTAAAAAAAGCTCATTAAAATAATCTTATTATTCGCTTTCAAAACTTTGTGTTTCTTTCAGGTCATGTTCGTGTTTAATACAGTACTAACGGTCTCACTCATCACCCAAAGGGAGGGTTTTTAACTTGTCCCCATCCAAGTGTTCAGATGCAATTAGTGGTGCAACCAATTACTTTCCCATTTCTTTCTCGCATATGTATCTAATTTGGCTGGAGCAATCCATATCTTCCCAACCATGATTCTGTACTTCAATTCGAAAACAGTTTTCATTGTCATTGAACGAAATACTGTTAAGATTGCTATACGTAAGATTTGATCCGTCTAGCCACCATGCCTCACTGAGACTTGAGCCGGTCAGCCCGATCCAGTAGTCCTTCCAGGCACCCCATACGATGAAGTCCTGTTCCGCTTGCGTCTCGATGAAGACCAGACGGGATCCGTATTGGGAACAAGCTGAAATCGCAGATGTATGATTCATCCCGCAAGTGCTGAAAATGTAGGTCGACCCGCCGTATGCGAATTTCTCAGGAGGAGATGAGCATGCTTAAAATTTCAAAACAATATGTAAATTACTTATTTTTAAGAAAGTAGACAAAGTGATTATTTGGGCTGAAACAGAAATATTTAAAGTAAGAAAGATAATGATGATGATGAAAATGATATGAATGATGACAATGAATATAATAATGATAATAATAACAATAACAATAATAATGACAAATCAAAACAGAAAATAGATGCAAAGACATAAAAGTTATTACAGCTTTAATAATCAATGTCTAAAGAAATTTTGCTTACCATCGAAAATTTTGGCCAATTCACAGTGTTATTTTCTACAGGTTTTTGTTAATATGAAGGAGAGAGAGGTGGTGAAGGGGCAGGAGGGGGACAGGATAGGAGAGAGAGGGAGAGAGTGAGAGAGAGAGAGAGAGAGAGAGAGAGGGGGGGGGGGGGGGGGAGAGAGAGGGGTGGGATTTGTCAGATTGTGATCAACTGCATGACGTCATTTCATTGTTTTTTTTCTTACTTACTGGAGGTGGTGGTTTCTTGCGATGTCGTTGTGTCTGACATCGTGGTCGTAGGGTTCGTCGTGGGCTTGGTCGTCGCGTCTGTAGACGATGATTCTGTTGACTCTGAACAGTGTTTTAACAAACAAAGCAAGTTAAAAGTTCATGAATTAATGGAGGGTTAACGATTTTAATAAATGAAACCACTCGTACAAAGCAATGATATTAGGAATGACACATAGCAGGATAAGAAGGCTAAAACGAAGAAAATTTAGCTCCATGAAAACATATATATTTAAATAGTTTATTTCGTTGATAAGGTATAATTTGTGTCAGCATATTTGTAGATTTAGAGGCGATTTGACAAATTCGAAGGGGCTTTTTGGGGGCTAAATTACATATCTAAATTTGTTCATGTGGCGTGTTTCTTGTCATTAAACTGGTAAGCAAAAGAATAAGACTGGTATACACCTCCCCCCCCCCCCTCATAAACAAGTTTTAGCGATACCGTTGAAACGAAAGAGTCAGATACAGAATTATAGCGTGAGGGAGAGAGAAAGAGAGTGAGAGAGAGTGTGAGAGAGAGAGTGAGAGAGAGAGTGAGAGAGAGAGAGAGAGGGAGAGGGAGAGAGAGAGTGAGAGTGAACTGGGGGGGGGGGGGGGGGAGAAAGAGAGGAAAGAGAGAGGGGGTGTGGGAGGGGGTAGTGCATAGACATTAAAATACTGATCAAAATAATGTATGACGCCAATTCATTACTGAGGGTGGTGGTTTCTTGCGATGTCGTTGTGTCTGACATCATGGTCGTAGGACTCGTCGTGGGCTTGGTCGTCTCGTCCGTAGTCGATGATTCTGTTAACTCTGAAAGGTTTTCAACAAACATAACTGATATAATTTTCATTATGAAATTGACGGTTCCGAGGGTTATAAAACAGTAAAACAAATGTAACCACACGTACAATACAAAAATATTTGGAATGACTCCTAATCAGGATTAGAAGGCCAAGAGGAAGAAATTTCGATCCATGAAAACATATAAAATTGCACGGTTTATATCTTTTATAAGGCTTTATTTGAGGCAGCAAATTTGTTGTAGATTTAGTGGTGTTTTGTAAAACTCGTGGGCAAAATAATTAGACGGTTACCTCCCCCTTAAAAATATTATAGTGCCTTCCGTGAAAGGAAAGGACATAGAAAAATGAGTCAGATAAAGACTGAGAGAGTTAGAGAAAGAAAGAGAGAGAGGAGGGGGGGGGGTATTGGCTAGAGCAATTATTTTAATAATCAAATTCATGACGCCATTTAAAAATGTTTCCATTGCTTACCTCTGATTGTGGTTTTTTGCGATTTAATTGCGTGTGGTCGTTCCGACATCGTGATCACAAGGATCGTCGCGGGTTTGGTCGTCGCTTCCGTTGTCACCGATTCTGAAAGGAAGTGGAAAAGGGAGCCGGAGTCAGGGAATG